TATCAGAGTAAATTTCCAGACACATGTACACAGTTAAAGGAACTTATGGAAAACAGCAAACAAAAAAATCTCTACTAGTTTTCAAACTTCCCTTTCTCTTGACTTTACAAATGGAGTTTTAAAACATTCCTCCAATAAGGCATGCACTGGGGGAAAAAAAAAGATCTATGTGAAGAGAAAGAAATTAAGTAGCTAAAGCAGGCCTTATAAGCTAAAAAATCAAAATCTTATGTAAAGGTCAGGCACAGCAGCTCACGCATGTAACCCTAGCACTCCGGAGGCCAAGGCAGGAGGATCTCTTGCATTCAGGAGTTCAAGACCAGCCTGAGCAAGAGTGAGACCCCAGCTCTACAAAAATAGAGAAATTAGCTGGGTGTTATGAGGCATGCCTGTAGTCTTAGTTACTCAAAAGACTGAGGCAGGAAGATTACTTGAACCCAGAAGTCTGAGGTTGCTGTGAGCCAGACTGATGCCATGACACCCTGGCCTGGGCAACAGAATGAGACTCTGTCTCAAAAAAAAAAAAAAGAAAAAAAAATCTTATTTAGAAATTGAGATGCTTAACTTTAACTGTCCATTTACATGTCTGTTCATACTTAAATGTTTTCAATGAAGAAAAAGATACACTTTCAATTAACCAGAAAAAAGTACAGGAACTTCAAGTTGAGGGAAGAACTAAAGAAACACCAATCTCATTAATATTGTTAAAGACTATTTTTAGAATGCTTCTGTAGCTCAGTGGTTAGGTCACCAGCCACATACACCCAGGCTGGTGGGTTTGAACTGGCCTGGGCCAGCTAAACAACAATGACAACTGCAGCAACAACAACAAAAAATAAACAAATAAATAAATAATAAAGACAATTTTTATACATGTCCAACTCCTGAAATATCTTGCTTTCTTAATGTGGATGCATATTATTTTTGAAGAAGAAAAAAAAACCTGAGAGCAGTATTTAAAAGTACTGGTTTGGGGATCACCCATCACTGAATCTCCTGGGGTATAAATTCCCAATACCCCATTTCCAGAAATTCTGAATCAATTCTGGGATGGGCCAGAAATACAGGATTTTAACACATACCTTAAGTGATGCCTTAGAGATAGGAATCCCTCTCCCTTCTTCATCACATGCCATTTAAATCTAGAGAGACTATCTTAATTACCTG